TTTTTTAGCATTCAGGATAAAACATTAAATGCCATTGCACTTTGGTCAGTTTACTTCCAATGGAAACCTATAGTTGTAACCATACACCAAGAAATTGGTTGTAATGGCGGCTAAGGATTTCAGATGATAGTAGATGTTTTTCACGACTGTTGGGGTTGTCGTTAATTGTATAATTGGCTATTGTTAATAAGATACTAAATACATTACATATTGTTACTGGTATGGTGGTAGTGGCAAGAGATCTTTACCCAATGGGGAAGAGTAACAGATAATAGGTCAGGTTGGAATTTTTGTAACCTTAAGTCAAATTTAATGATAGTTTTGTATAGCTCCAATATTATACTCAATTCATAGAAGCCATCTTCCATATTTTTCACTGATGAGTGATAATAATTTTAAAGCAATGGTATGCAGTTGAATGGATAATGCTCCTAACTAGGCTGGATTTGTGCTATAAACCTGTTTATGAATGTACAATTGCTACCGAAGTAACGCTATAGATGAACAGATATCTAATGAGCATAACAGGTAGTGAGACATCTGCATGTCCTTAAACCTATCACTTGGCTACTTGAACTCACCACTGTCTTTTATAACTAAGAGGTGCACTCCCAGTGAATCTCTTATTCATTTTTCTCCATGAAGAAGGGAATGATTGATCCCTACTCACACAAAAAATGTTCTCTTGATATGACCCTCACCCAAAATGTTGTAAGTGATGATCCAGCTGGGTACAGTTTTTGTAGAGATCATATATGTCCAACCTAAGCCAGCAGAGATATTTGATTACCTACTTTGTATGTACACAAGAATTGCAATAGACTGTATTTGTGGTTGGTGTTCTAATTCCTATATCACCTCAGTAATAAGGGCTGTTATCATATATGGGTATTAGACTGAACAGACATTCCATGGCACATAGTCTCCTGGGTAATGTATACTGGGAATAAAAATAACAGAAGCAAAGTTTACATGGTACTGAACATGTTTATGTCTAAATTCAAATTTCTCTACGTATACACATGTTCATTTGGGGAAGACAGAGATCTTTGCAAACATTACATTTTCCTGGTACACACCTAATTTCACCTGAGATTTATAGGTGGCCAGGTAAAATCTGTTCTTATATTACATTAGTCTGGGATCCCAGTAGCTTTGCATGTGTCCCATCCCAGGACTTGCTGTTTGTTTGGGGCCAGCAGAGAGTATTAATTACCCCCTTCAGTTCTCTTTCATGTGGCTTTGGACTACTGTGTAAGATGAACAAACATTAGCTATCCATTGCATACTCATAGCAGACCCATGTTTCCCTAGAGTATCTACTAGTTGACAAACAGTGTGCAACCAGAACCTTATGATTCTTTGTCACTTCGGATGACTTTTTATAAACCAGGATGTAATCACCTTTTACATCAGAATTATAATATAAACTGAGTGACTCACATAGGGAGTTAAAATTAATAATATGTTAATTCACAAAAATCAATATATCTAAGTAACACTCAAACTTAGCAATAACCTAAAATGAAGAATTTATATGAGCCAGGGAAAAAAAAACAAAATAAGTAATAAAACGTCAACTTCTTTGGCACACCGATTAAAGCTTAACGCCTTCTGGCCAATCAAAAACATCTTTAGTGTCCATATATAGTTATACTTTTAATGAAATATTTCCATGCCAACGTCATTAACATAAGATATTAAAGCTACACATTTACAGGCAGAAAACATTTTTGGCAAATCATAAAATTGTCAAGTTTGTTGTTCATAAAATGGAAACATTTGAAAAAACGTAATTATACTTTATTACTAAATAAATGCAACCCATGCATACAGTATTCCTTTTTCTTATTTATTAGTTTACACCTACTTGTAGCACTTGCAAAAAACATACTAGGGGTATTGTCCACGTTTAGCCATTATCGTTCTATCTTTTGAAATACTGTATATAATGAAATAAGGCCATACATCTTTCTGGTAGAAATAAAGGCTAGAAACTTTGATCTGCCTTGCAGAAGACCGAATATGTTTTTGGCACGTAATGAATATGTGCTGGTAAAAGCAGCTCTTCTCGTCTGAATTTTATAACAAACATATCCGGCCCGCATTGATTGATGCCTTCCCAAAAAGGGGGAGACATGGCAGTATAAATTTTCAGAAGGTGGGGGCCAGTATTGCCCCGGCAGCAGGGTTTTTTAGATACATAATTCACATGCCCTGCAGGCATTGCTTTCAAGGCATTGGAGCCGCAGGGCGAAAAAAATAAGCAAGGCTCTTAAAAGTGAATGATTTTTGCTAATGCACAATTAATGCCATGGAAAAGCACAAAAGAGCAAGACTGGGTGATGGAAACTTCTGATTAAGTTGGCACACAGGCGTTGACGAGTGTATCTCTTTTTTCTTTTAATTTTAACCATTTCAGTGCCATTGTGTGTCACTCTACTTTGCTGTTACTTATTCACTAAATACTGTCATTGGCTTCATTATAAAAGATTAACGTTACAATGGGACTGAAATGATATGTTGGTTCAGGTATCTCCCCTTGTTCTGGTTCTGGTGCTCTCCTGGGATCTGTAGGACTGAGCAAAACAGCAAAGAGTACATTACTAGATTCAGTATGTGCAGGGCAGGATATCTGCATAGCCAACATAGGCTGCACCTACCCTGCAGTGCTAGCAGGGTATGGTGACAATTTGCCCCATTCTTTAAGGCATTGGTTCTAGGTGTTGGGTGGCATAGTGGGCAAACTGTCACATTCAGCCTCTACACCTCCCTGTGTCCTGTTAGTGTGATGTTAAGGCTAGTAAGTCAACTGGACTAGGAGGGGGAGTACAAGACAGTCTAAGGATGCATGATGTTAAAATCCGTGAAGTACATACAGTATAGCACCCTTCACTGAGACTGTCTCATAGTGGTGATCAGATCTTTTAGAATATATACAGGCATCTCCAGCCCTTTATGGTTACCAATAGATGAGGTTCTGATGTTTCTAAACACATCCTATTAGTCTGAGACAGCAAGGTACGTACACATTGATGTATATGCTGATACGGTTAGCAGTGTTACCACTATCTCTTTATCCTTGTGGTGTTGTTGGTGAATAAGTACACCTTCTGTATCCACAATTTGTAGGTTGTGGCTATGAACCTTACAAGCTGGGATCACCTCACACCCGAAAATATCTCACGGCACACTAGTGTGCCGCGGCACAGTGGTTAAAAAACGCTGACGTAGAGAATCCCTCAAAATAAACTCTTAAGATCACAGTAGAGTGAGTAGAGACCTGGATAGAGGAAGCCAAGTGGATGTGCCCCAGGGCTCTGTGCTAAGCCCAATACTGTATAACCTGTTTATTAATGATATTGGGCTGTGTAAAAATCACACGCACCTAGTGCGTGCGTGTGTTTAGGTTAGTAAATCACCCCCAGTGAATAACTATATACTTGATATCTTTATTACTTTTGTTTTGCCTGAAGTTATCCTTTAAAAAGTATGCGAAAAGAAACAAATATCTAAAAATCCAATTCATCTTTTAGATTGCAAGCTCTCATGAGCAGGGCCCCCTAACCCATACTTTTGGACGATTTCTTAAGGGACCGTAATATACAGGGGTACGGGTACTCCTAATAGGTTGGACTTGATGGACTAATGTCTTTATTCAACCTCAAATACTATGTAACTATGTAACCCTCCAATATTATATTGTATTGTAACTGTACAGTCTCCCTTTATTTAGTAGATCGATGTGCAAACTGTTGGCGCTATATAAATCCTACATAATAATTATATGAATAATGTTTTTAGTGTAACAGATAAAACCATATCAATTTCAGCCAAATCCATACTTGAAAGGATTGTTCATTAACTTCCATGTCCAGTATGTCCACTGTTTGCTAATTTATACCACACATTTTATTCTGTGAATAATTAGATCATTTGTGAAACTCTAGCTGGATAGTGCTGGATATGCTTCACACAGACCATTGAAGGGCAACTTACTGCAGTTTAGTTCCTGTACAACTACATCTCCCACTATCATTAGTGTTTGGACAATGATCCGGTGGAAGATTTTGTAATAATAAGCAACATACAGCTACATAAGCTAGATACAGTACAGGTCTTGCAGAAAGAGGTTGCTGAGCTGCATTGCCCATACTGACTGTTTTCAGTGGTCTGTACTTTTATTAGTTATACACACTGACTATATTCATTAGGAAGATGTACCTAATAGAATGTGACAGTTGGCCATGGTACTATCACAGGATGAAGATAATACTAATGATGGAGAGCCTACAACCTCACAGTTTTTGGATTGGTACATAGAATATACAGGAACCCTGGGCATTAATTAAGTGTCGTATTACTATAGAGAAGTAAGATGAACTTCATTCGAAGTTACAGAAGACTGGCTGTTTACCTTAGCTCAGAATTACACATACGTTAGGCATTCATTGATAGATCTTGTGGGGCTGATTTACTAATGCCCAATCAGGTATCTGTGAATTTTAAAAAACATATATTACATTTTTCTCCTGAATCTCTGATTGGGTATTTAGAGAGACAATGACCACTGGTGGGCATAGATGGACTGTTAAGCTGCCTAAAATGTAATTTAAAAGGAAACAATAAGTCATCTGGATATTAAAGGTATTTGCTATTGCATACATAGATTTTTAATTTTTTTAATAAAATTTCTGCATAACCAGCTGTTGATGAAGAGGAAACAAACCTCTAAGTGTCTTGATTTCACTATAATTGGGGAGATTTCCACAGAAG